GTCTCCATGCCAGGACAGCTCAAATGGTGAGTTGACTGACACCTCTAGCTTGTGGCAGTCTTCTTTCTTAGTTCTAGAGATGTTTTGTTTTTAGAACTTTTGGTTAATTGTGGTGTTTATATACCCACTAGCCGAATGACCCGGGCAACGCCCGTGTTTTACCCGATTGAATGTTTTTATTCAAATACTATTTGTTACAATTATAAATTGGCGCCTTAAATAAATGCATATATTAGTTAATAACTATAGCCTATGTGCTTTATCTGTCTATGTACTGTTGGCTTCCGTAGGCGTCTCTTACTGGGAAAAAGAAAGAGAGGATTCCATTTAGTTATTAACTAATATATGCATTTATTTAAGGAGCGACCCGCTCAACACAATAGTTACAAAAACCAAAAAGTGAGTGGGGGGGGGGGGGCAAAGTCAAAAACAAAGTGTCTCGCATAGTGGTGGCGTGATCGTAGCCAACCAATAGGAGAGCGCCATTCCAAAAAAAAAGCAAACGGTGACAGAGATGATGACGCTCGTAACTATATATAGAATATTCCAAGTGTCAGGGTACCTTAGGTGCCGCCAGGAAAAATAAAACTACCAGCTTTGCCTGAATCCATGTCAACAGTCTGTTCTCCAAGTCAGACTGTCATAGAACCTGCTCCGTTTTTTTAACCAACAGCAAATACCCATCTAGTTACTTAATATTTTAGGTTCTGGGAAAATAAAATTGAAAGTAGATGGTTGGTAGAGGTTTGAGACTACTAGTACTTTGCATGTAAGGACAGTTTCGTACTTGCAAAGCACTAAAGCCCCATTTGGTTACTTGAACAGATTTTATATAATAAATTTAGCTCTCACCAATTTTAAGCTAAATAGCAACTCTCTAGTAAGAGGATACCTTTCTTTTAAAGGAAACTTTGGTTCTGCAACTATATTTTGTCCTCTACAGAGAGGTTTTACTGCATCTTGCATCTTAAGATTTTGTTCCACTTCAAACTTCAGTTTTGAAGTGTCCTCCAGCAGTATGTGACCAACCTGTGTGATGGCAGTGTCAATGTCCCGGCCACAGCACTGACAGATGACAGGATCACAGAGGAGGGGACAGAAGACCCACCAGCCGACACTCGACAGTGCCAGGTCAGGATACTAGTTGTCTAAACCTGGATCTTTTTTTGTTTGTATGAGAGGATTTTATTTCTTTTCTCATCCTATAAGAAGAGGGAATAGTTCCCTCATATTGTAGCATAGAAAAGACAAACCTTACTAAATACCAGAGAGGCAATGAGAAAAGTTTTCTGTGCAGTAAAACTTTAAAATATGTTCACAAGAATTGTGTGAAGATGGTAACAACGCTGTTACTGAAACGTCACACACTATTTATTTATTTGGATTTGGTCTTATTACCTTGTGTTTATAATCTATAATCCAAATTGTGCCTTATCAATTTAAAATATGTTCATAAATAATTCTAGAGAATTGTTGGGTGGGGGGGGGTATGAGAAAATATACACAATTTATATCATTATCAACTTTTAGTGTTGAACAAAATTGCATTAATGCATTTTTGAACATACGTGAATCTAAGATAATAATTTTTTTCTGAAAAGAAGGAATAAATCAGGAAAATAAAGGCAAGCTAAGAATTTTATTTTAAAAATTCATGATCTTTTTAAAGAAATCCTTTATGGTTGTTTGCTTTTGAGCTAGAACCCCTATTCATTGGGTGTTCTAGCTTCAAAAGGCTTGCATGTCTTTCCTACTCTGTGAGTTCTTCCGGAGGGCAGGACATTACTCTCCTAGACATCTCATTGTTTACATTGATGACTTGCGTCCACTTAGGTTATTGAACCAATGATGCCTAAATCATCCTGGAGAGACTGAAAATTGCAATATGGAGGATGCTGGTAACATGAGCCAGTTTATTAGACTATTCTTAAGCCTAGCTTGAACTAGCCAGATGTAGAGCACTTCTGGTACAATAGAGTGGATCTAGGAGGAGCTCTGAACTTCAGACAGCATCAAACAACATTAACAATATTTAGAACAAGCCATCAAGCCATTGAAGATGGAAAATAACAACAAAATCTACCCCACTTGCCCAAAATGTAGCTTGGCACCTGCAACTCCAGAACACATTTTGGCTTGCATTAGCTGCACTAAACAGGACCTTTGGGAGAGGCTGCTGCTTATCATAAAACAGCTCGAGGAGCATGAACTCATGGAATTTGTGTAATCTTTGCACAAGGGGATAAGAAACAACAACAGAGCACTTATTCTAAAAGGGGATGCTAACACATGCAATATCTCAGCAAAAGTTGGAGTTGGCACCTCTTTGTAGCACCATTTCTTTTGTCTCATATAGTAGAAATATTAAATTTTCTTATATCTATCTTGTTCTGCTTGTGTTTTTCACAATTAATAGTTTTGATAATGGCAATTTTTGTCTTGTGATATCAAGTTGAGAACAGCTTTGCCATATTTTCCTTCTTTATTGCAATTTAAAAAGTATTTCAATATAAAGATATTGGTGAATGAGAGAAAGAGAGAGAATGACTCACACACAAAATATTATTCAACATGTGACCAAAATAGAATGTGAATGCAAACACAAGCAATGATGCTCAATTTATTTTTCAAATTAAAATCAAAATTAAACTTGCTCAAAATTTTCCTCTTTTAAAAATTGGTTAAGTCTTCTTTCTTATCTCCACACTGGGTGAAGTAGAATGCATCTGCCTTTGTCATTAAGACTGGGAGCACTACTCAGTGGCAGGCCGACTTAGCTCCAAAAAAAATGGCCGGCTCTGACATGAGGAACAGACGCCATGTGCAGTCGCTCCTAACATGGAGTACAAACGCTGCTCATCCTGTGTATCCCTGGATTAGGAGCCATTACAGGGTACTATCAGCCGGGCCAGCTGAGCCCAGGTTTTTTAGTGAGCTTGTTACTGCTCCCCCTCCTCCTTTTTCATCAGGGCTTGGGACCGGCAAAGGAGGAGTTATTGGTTTAGTTAAAATATTACATTTGTTTATATTAGAAGTTATTATTTTGGATTTAAAATCGGTTCATTATATGGGTAGTTTATGATTTTCAAAAAGTCAAAGTTTGTTATAACAATGGAATTTTCAATAAAATGGAATTGGGGATTACCTTAGGTTCATTATAAGGGATGGTTTGATAATTCCTGGATCATTTTAATGATGTTTTACTCTATAGAGATTTTTCTAGAACTGTGTTAAAACATGTTGAATACAGTGTCTAATATCACAGATGGAAGGTAAGTGAATATTATACATGTTATGTGGGGGTAGAAATACGTAATTTAAATTAAAGAATTAAATTAAGATCTCTATTTAAAATTTAAAAAATAGATGTGTATGAATAGGTCAGTGTTTTTCTTGTTTGAGCTGTGAAATCTGTTGTTGTTTTTTTTCAGTGTTCCCTGATCTACAAAACTATGGATACTCCTAGTTTCTGCTAGAGATGGTATCTTATTGGAGGTCGAGTCATTTTGGATTCTATAAGGTGCTTCATTGGAGGTCGAGTCATTTTGGATTCTATAAGGTGCTTCATTGGAGGTCAGGTCATTTTGGATTCTATAAGGTGCTGCTTGTTCATCAGATGGCATCTCATTGGAGGTGGGATCACTTTGGATTCTATAAGGAGCTGCTTGTTGATCAAATGTATTGCTGCTCTCTTGAGATCTTACTGACACACTTACTTGTATATCAGCAGCAGCCCCACCTGGAGGCCTCTGCACTCACCTGGAGAATCAACCTCTCCAAAACCGAGCACTTCTGGGAGGGCTGGTTCAACAACCTCTCCTCCATCTTCCTAGAATGTGGAGTGCCCAAGATCCTGCTCCTTGCTGGTAAGACCTGGGTAGATATTCTTGCACCTTGCTGGTGAGATCTGGGTAGATGTTCTTGGTCCTTGCTGGTGAGACTGGGTAGATATTCTTGGTCCTTGCTGGTGAGATATGGGTAGATGTTCTTGGTCCTTGCTGGTGAGATCTGGGTAGATGTTCTTGCTCCTTGCTGGTGAGATCTGGGTAGATGTTCTTGGTCCTTTCTGGTGAGATCTGAGTAGATGTTCTTGCTCCTTGCTGGTGAGACCTGGGTAGATGTTCTTAGTCCTTTCTGGTGAGATCTGGGTAGATGTTCTTGCTCCTTGCTGGTGAGATCTGGGTAGATGTTCTTGGTCCTTTCTGGTGAGATCTGGGTAGATGTTCTTGCTTCTAGCTGGTAAGATCTGGTTAGATGTTCTTGCTCCTTGCTGGTGAGATCTGGGTAGATGTTCTTGGACCTTGCTGGCATCAGTAGGCCCTTTAAAAATGAGAAGTGTAAGTGGATATGTCCACTAGAGCTGTGACATATATGATATTTTACTGAACTGCTCCTTTTTTTCACCTTGCTTCAAAAAAATAATAATAATAATTAGCCATTTAAGACAATCTACAATGTACCTGCTTTCTATAAGTTTTCCTATATTCAAATGGAATATACTATGATTTCACTGTCATATTTGATTACCATTTTTCTGATTTACATTGGGCATTATTTGTGTGGCTGGAACATCTTACATAAGTGGTAAACCTTTATTTTTTGGCTAAGAAAGTAGGTAAAAGCAAAAATCTATGTGGGCAATCAAGTAATCTGTTGATAATTGAGAATGTACAAGATGCCCACACCGTCTCTTCACAAGTTCACCCAAGTAACACAATAGTTGTTATAATACATTATAAAGGACTGCGGCGTATGATTATAAAACAACACTTAAAGTTTCACCGCATATGTTTCTTTTCTGTGAAAAATCAATATTTATTTCAAAGAGAAATATTTACTATTTCTAACTTTTTTGGATGAAGTATGAAAGGGTGAAAATATGAAGAGTAATGGCGAACGGAAAAATAAAAGTGTCCAGGGGCGGGAATCGAACCCACAACGTTCCGCTTACCGGGCAGATGCCATGTACTTTAAGTATTATTTACGAACGGAAAAATACGTCCAGGGTAGCCTAGTGGACATGGCATCTGCCCGGTAAGCGGAACGATGTGGGTTCGATTCCCGCCCCTGGACACTTTTATTTTTCCGTTCGCCATTACTCTTCATATTTTCACCCTTTCATACTTCATCCAAAAAAGTTAGAAATAGTAAATATTTCTCTTTTAAATAAATATTGATTTTTCACAGAAAAGAAACATATGCGGTGAAACTTTAAGTGTTGTTTTATAATAGTTGTTGTTGTTAGTGTCCAAGTTGAGTTCTACTTTTGGAGATTATATGAACAAATACTCTCTAATTTGATCTGTTAGTGAACATAACTGGCAGCTCATCTAGTGACCGGTAGCTTTCTTGACCCATTCTAGCCAGCTCATTGCAGCTCTTCCTCTCTTTTCCTCCAATTTTTCCCAACATCAACATGTTGTTGTTGTTTCTTATCCCCCTGTGTAAAGATTACACGAATTCCATTACATCAACATATATATATATATATATGTACATATGTATATATATATATGTACATGTATGTACATATATGTATATATATATATATATATATATATGTTGATCAAACCTCTATAATTCATTACCAAAGTTTTTAATGACATTGTGTTTGTTAAGTAACCCTCTAGATAGTGATTATAATGTATTCAATGATATAAAATCCTTTTTTTTTTTCTTTTAATTCTTGATAAGGCACAATTTGGATTATAGATTCAGTACTTTTGTCTGAAGATGGTAACAACGCTGTTACCGAAACGTCACACACTATTTTTTTATTTGGATTTGGTCTTATTACCTTGTGTTCTTTTAATTCTGATCTTTATTGTCATTACTCTCTTTATGGGTTATTTAAACATCGGCAGCCCAGTTTCTGAGACATAGTAAAACATTTGGCAATGAATGAGTGTATATGCAAATTTTTTTCATGGGTTCATCATATTAATATAACCTACAGTTACCTAGTTGTAGGGCCAAAATATCCATTATAGAGAGTGGTGTCCTCTTACCATAGAGTTAATAATTAGTAAAATTGGTAATTATGCTAATAAAAACTCTCCTTTGTAGAGAGGTGTCCTCTCATAGAGGTTTTACTGTATGCAGTTAACTGCCTCAGTGTGGCGGGGAGGTGACCCTGGGTAATATAGGTGAAGTATGTCTGGAGTCTTGTACTCCTGGTAACCTAGGCATGAAGGCTGTCCTTACTAAGCCCTGCTAAATGTTAACAGGTAATGAGGCAAAGTCGTGTTCTTACCTTTATGTGCCTCAGATATTCCCATCAGCAATCACACTGTAGCACCACCACCAGAAACTATTTCCAGAACATTTATTTTCTATAAAACAATTATCTACTGTGCCCTTACTGCAATGATAAAATATTGGGAGGGCCTTGGCTCTCTCTCATCAATGATAAACCCTCCCTGCACAGTTTTGCCTGTTTAATCTACCAAATATTTGTATCATTGCAATAAAGGCAGTTGAAAATTATTTTATGAGAAGTAATTGTGCTATAAATGTTTTATATATGTGTGTATACCTTTATGTTGTTGTTGTTGTTGTTTCTTATCCCCTTGTGTAAAGATTACACGAATTCCATGAGTTCATGTTCCTCGAGCTGTTTTATGATGAGCAGCGGCCTCTCCCAAAGGTCCTGTTTAGTGCATCTAATGCAAGCCAAAATGTGTTCTGGAGCTGCAGGTACCAAACTACATTTTGGGCAAGTGGGATAAATTTTGTTATTATTTTCTATCTTCAATGGCTTGAGATGGCCTGTTCTAAATCTTGTTAGTGTTGTTTGATGCTGTCTATTTCTTTATACCTTTATAGTATATTTATGTAGCATACTACTTTTCACATGTAGACATGGGTGCCCTTACAGTAAAACCAGTTGCCTAGTTCTACCCACCATGATTATCATGACCTGTACCACGTGTACTAGGGATAAACAAAAAATAAAAAGTATATTTATGGGAATATATAGAAAGAGAGACTTTGTGGAAGCAGCTTGTATATACAGTAGAACAGCCTGTTGTTATAACAGCCACAAATTGGTTAAAACTTGATAAATCTGAGTTTCCCTAACACCATGGTTAGTTATAACATCATTGACTGTAGTGAGCATGGTGGTGTCGCAGGCATTGACAGGTTAGACCGGGAACTGACCATAGGACAGATGCAAGGTAGGTAGCCCCCCACGCTGCCACTGCACTATGCCAACGTGTGCTACGCTGTACAGGCAAGTTCCAGATGCAAGTACTTCCCCAGAGCGGCCATGCTGTACATGAAGATGTTCCAGAAAAGGTCAGTGCTCCCAACTACAAGCCACCTCCACCTGGTTGTCATCTCCAGCAAGCGTATAAAACTCGCCTCAAGAACTATGGCCCATGGATATTTGAAATTGTTCACCTTTTTTTTTTTTATTATCCCATTAGCAGAAGGGTGTGGGTTCGATTCCCGCCCCTGGACACTTTTTATTTTTCCGTTCGCCATTACTCTTCATGTTTCACCTTTCCATACCTCATCCTCAAAGTTAGAAATGTCGCTATTTCTCTTTGAAAATAAATTTCAATTTTTATAAAAGAAACATTCACGGTATAATTTCAATTTACGTTTTATCCCATTATATAATTATACAAGGTCATGGATACTTAATTCACATATAAAATTCACAATTTTGGTAGGGTTGGAATATAGGTCCTGTTTTGAGGCTCCCATACATTCCAAGAGGTGGTCTGATGAGGCCTCTTTAGTCCATAAGTCTCCATGATGGGGAGCTGCTGTTCTTGGTTGGCTATCCACCACATGGAGGTGACTGTCAGACTTTGCCTCCCTATTGTTCACCATTGTTATATGGAGTAGGGCCCTTGAAACACAGAGAGAGATAGGTGAGCCTATAATTAAGTGATTGCCATGTTGATGCAGAAGGCAAGGGGAAATTGCTGCTTTGTTTTTCCTACAAAAATCCTCATTAAATGTGCATAGTTCAAGAAGATGTCCTGAAGCTACTAGGACTTTTCTTCTTGGCAGAGTCTGATGATATGACATAGGGATCAACATAGATTTTGTCAGGTCCTGATAATTCTCCCACTGAGTGCCTGTCAATTGATAATGTCCTGTGTTTCAGGTGGCCGAGGCCATCACCAACTTCCTGGTCCGCCACAAGTTTGCCAACCCCCTTTCAGACTTCAACAGGTGACAACTCTCTCTCTCTCCTTGTGTCAGAAAATTGACAGGACTTAGAGAAAACCTGGTTTGAACCCATGGACCTGTGTGGTCACTACATGTAATACTGTCTAGGCATGCAACACTACCCTCCAACTTGTGCCAGATATATATTTTTGTCTATCCCATGTATCATTCATTATACAAGGGCATGGAGACCATATATTGATTAGATGTAGTATTTGTTGGGTTATGATACAAGACTTCTCTAGTGGCCCCCATGCTCGATAGATATTCTGGGGCTGCTTATTCCTTCTGGCAGATGGTACAGTTAGGGAAGGTCTTCACTCTGCTCTCAAACCTAATTTGCCTAGTATGTCAGGTGGCATCTCCATAGAGAAAGTTGGTATTGATGATCTCCCCTGGTTTCTCAGGTAGATTCCCATGGTGTGTGAGGTTGAAGAAGTCATCCTTCAGTGTCATCTTCTGGTTTGACTTGAAATGGTCAAAGTCAAGGCTGTCATTGGGCCAGGGTATCCATATTTTCATTACCATTAAGTACAATGTGTGAGGGGATCCATTGGAATGTTGTAGTTGAATCCTGGTGTAGTTTATCAGGTTAGTGGAAATATCTCTCATAATTCTTTCTGAACTTGTGTAGCAGTTGCCTGGATGGCTGACATTGAACCTATGAAGAAGACACATTCTGCTGTTGATCCATTCAGATAGTCAAATTCAGGTTAATGTGTAGCCAGTAACTCTGTGTTGACATCCTCTTGGATTGGTATGCTGCATTTTCATGGGTTCTTCATTTTTTTCTATATAGAAATGTCTCTCCATCATTTTTGGAACCATCTGTATATATTCCGGGCCATATTCATGGGTTTTTCTAGAGCAAGGATTTTCAAAAGGTACTTTCATTTTGCTTATTGTTTATATTTCCTCTACTAATCACAAGGTAATAAGACCAAATCCAAATAAAAAAATAGTGTGTGACGTTTCGGTAACAGCATTATTACCATCTTCAGACAAGTGTTGAATGATAAAAAATATCACAGCATGTTTTAAATAGTGATTGTTATCAAGTGTGTAAACAAGATAGCTGTGGTATTTTTTTCTCATTCAGCACTTTTGTCTGAAGATAGTAACAATGCTGTTACCGAAACGTCACACTATTTTTTTTTTATTTGGATTTGGTCTTATTACCTTGTGTTTATAATCTATAATCCAAATTGTACCTTATCGTTCCTCTACTAATGTTTTGATTTTGTTTTTTCTTATGGTTTGTGGCGAATTTGGGGTGATGGAGGTTTTTATTGGGGAGAGTAGTGGAAGTGCCAGATAATGGGGGTTGACAGGACTTGGAGAAAACCTGGTTTGAACCCAGCTCTTCTGGGATTTGTGTGGCCACTACATGTAATATGCCTACACAATGCTGTGTTGTTCCAGAGTGTTCCCCTCGTGCTGAGAGCCCCAGTAGATGGACAACCAAACTTCTTGTTATTTATTTATTTGTGGGCTGCTGTTTGTTTAATATTATTATTATTTGGCCACATCACTTTTTTGTTTCAAACCAAACTTTAGACAATTTATTTTACATATTTTTATCTCTACACAGATTATAATAAAGCTTGTATAAAATGTTGCTTCTCTGTGCCTGGGTGCCAATTATTTTATCTTTACTTTCTCATCAAATATCCTAGATTTGTGGGGGACTCAGCAAATAAATATATATGTCAAAGTTATTGATATGTAAAATTATAAGAAACAAGTAAAAGTATGTAAATATGGAAATAATTGACCTGAAGGACTAATCCAACTGATTGATTTGATGGCTTCATACTTCAATTTTTGATAGCCACGATCCAAGGATCAAATTGGTGGATGGTGTGTGGTGGGTGGTCTGGTGGATT